AACCATATGACTTGTAGGAAAGCAAAAGACAAAAAGTCCATAGAGTAACTTCATTAATAAAACTGCTTGTGTATTTTATACAACCTAAATCTGAATGAGTGGTGTTTATTCTACTTTCGTATTTGAATCTAAAGGTTAGGAGCTATATATAAACATCTATAAATATCCCTGGAAGAATAAACAAAACTTCATGGGCATTACAAGCATACACAACTTGATCCCCCTAAGATTTTGGCATGTCTTGGTAGCAATTTCTGTAGAATGTGTAAATACACTCTATTAAAGCTACCTGGTTCTTGCAAAAATCAACATTACTGTAGGAGTCCAGCTTAATTGTTGTAGACAGTAGTTAAAATGGTGCTTCGTCTTCACTATTTGAATGAATTCAGGCAGTAACAACTTTCCAGTTTGTCTCAATTAAAATATCTTGAGTTCTAGGAAATGAAGCTGCAATTACTTTTTGAGACAATTTATCAAATATATCATCTCCTGCTGGCATTTATTGGGGGACAACAGTTTTTATTAATGCTATTTCTGTAGTTGCTTACAGTGTTAATGTTTTCCTTGCCTTTAACATTAGAAAAAGCTTCTAGATAGTATTGCCCATTATGACTGTCATAGTCAACCTAAAAGATGGCCAATTTTGGTCATGGCAATAAGGTAATTCATCTAAACTTGCAAAACACAGTGTAGGAAGCAAGGAATTTTGAAGTGTGTCCAAGAGAATAAACATCAGTTTAATGCTAATCTTGGAGGTGGCAGCAGGTGTTGAATGTAAACTCTTGTTCTTGGGCTTATTTCTTTCCTAATGTACGGGCCTGGTGCCACCTTATCTGCACTGCTGTTTCATTCCAGATACATCTATCCCTACCAAGAGTAGGGTAAGCAAACAGTGCAATTTTTATCATTATTTTGTTTGGCTTTTAAGGAAGCTTTGATTTGTGTGCCAAGATAGGCTCAATCTTTTTCTCGTATGTACTGGCATGCATGCAAGAAGACAGCCTTCTAGTAGAATAAATTAAAGTAGGGAAGTCGAGCATGAGGAAATTTGAAAAAATGAGAAATAAATTTCCTTGTTCATGCTTGATGTGGCTGCTTTGAGGCACGTGCAGTACACTGCAGTTTTTAATTAATCACATTCTGTATCATCCCGTGATGTTTTCCCTTGTCTCCTTTTCTGCTTCATGGTCCGTGGGCAAAACTGTACATCTTCCCAATGCATCTGTAGGCTTTCAATGCTGTTCCTCATTCAGATCAGTAAGCCTCCCCCGTGCTTTCTGGAAGTGGTAGTAGGGATGATAGTTCAGAAATCAGGACTATTTTCTTTAACTGTAAATGCCTGTGCTCAATATGAGCACAATCTACAGCAGTTGCAGAGCAACTCCTCTTCAGCATAGGTAAAAGCTTCGTGGAGAAATTACTACTTACTTATTCTTTTGTAAGAGTCTCTAGAGCCTCTGTTGAAGCTGTATAATCTACTTTTTTTTTTTTTTTTCCCTGAAGGCTTGTAAATTAGCCATATATGTATGGAGACTGGTGCGGAGAATGTGGCTGAGATGCATTTGTTGAGTTCTAAGGCTGCAGTAGCCTGTGGGAGGAGAATGAAGGATCATCTTTCAGTTGGTTAATCAAAGAAATTATAGTTTCCTCAGACCTTGTCAGAAACGACTGAAGCATTTTACCTTTTAAAAACAAATGAACAAAACCCTTAGCTCAAGGCACATGCCCAACTTGCTTTTTTCATGGCTAACCTATGCTTAAAGCAGGACAAAATTACAATTGGCTGAAAATGGACTTGTACTGAAAAATGTTAGAAAACTCTCTAATAGGTGGTGTGATTGGTTATGCTATCTATAAACAACCTGAGGAAAGAGTACATGACACAGACATTCAATTCATGTGCATCTCTGAACAGCAAGGTGTTACAAATGCTGTCCAGGGTAAACACAGTTGGGTCACTGTGGTGTTCTCCTGAAGTGACTCACCCTGATGGGGTTTAATGACCAACTTGCTTTCAGAATCTGATCTTTGTGACACACTGTACCTTGAGGAAAGTCCCTGTTAGGGAATCCTGGGTTCTCCAGGTAACATTAGCCGCTGTCAATTATCTTCTTCCTTCCTTCCTTCCTTCCCATCAGTGTTTATTTGCAGTGCACCGTATCTTTAAACACCTCTGGGTCTACATTTCAAACATGACAATCTAAGATTAGGAGTATGATCCACACTTAGGGAGTCAAAACAGATAGCTGTGCTTTCTTGAAAATGCCAGAGATTTTTTTGCTCCTGTTAATATTGTTGATGATGTATTGATTTTTCTTTCAGTAGAAGTAAGCAGTCAAATTCAGGCATCTCTGTAAATCAGGCCGTGTTCTTGCGTTTCTAGCTAGAAGGCTGAGTTGGAAATTGTGTTTGTATAGTTTGTTTCTTGGTGACACTTCACAATGCAAGGTATCTCAGCTACTAAGTTTTAGGGAGTTAATAAAATTTAGTTTGTTTTCAAAAGTACATACATTAAAATAACTTTTTGAACAGGAGGCTAATATTCAAAGGTGATCACTACAGAGTACCTGGATGTCAACTTTAGGTACCGTGCTTGACTTAGATTTAAAATGTTGATTTTGGAAAAATGTTTGACTTGTCTTGCGCTATACGTGTGTTCCTGCAAATCTCACCAACTTGTCAAAAAGCCTCTTTTAATGAAAATGAAAAACATGGAAAACTTAGGCTTTTAAAATTCTGCAGAAACAATTTTTAATTTGTTTTTGTTATGGATTTAAAATCAAATCATTGCCATCTTTCTTTAGTATCCTGCAGAAATAAGAAAATATGATTATGATCCCAATTTTGCAATCAGAGGACTTCATTATGATGTGCACCGGGTATGTATAAATAGCTTTATGATGAGTTATGTAGCGCTGAAAACCTAGCCAAAGAAAATAAATCAGACTTTGAAGTCTGAGCTTTTCACTCTGTGTTAATGTGTAAGAATTTTGTTTCATTTTTTTCTCTTTCATGATTTTTTTTTTTTTTTTTTAAATAGCTCTTAAGTATAAAGTGTTTTGGGTGTTTTGTTCTCATGGTGGGCGGCAGGGGGAGGAAGAAAGACAACTTAGAGTACAACAGAATGAACCTAAGCAGGCATCTGCTAGTAGGAAAAGGTTTTTTTTAATGACCTAGCTCAGGTCACTGGACAATGTGTCCTTGGTGATTTGGCAAGCCCTAGGTAAAAGCCATTGATGAAGTATTTTGGAAGCTATGAAAGAGGTTGAAGTGAAGGTGCTCAGGCGTTCTTGCAACAGGTTATCGATAAAGTTGCCTTGATTTTTATAGTTTCACGTCCAACAGTTGACATGGTAAAAACTGATTTTTTAATTTTTTTTTTTTTTAATTTCACGTCCAATAGTTGACGTGGTAAAAACTGATTTTTTTATTTTTTTTTTATCCCCTCCTCCCTGCAAGGCGTTATTAATGAAGATTGATGCTTTTCATTATATTCAGCTGGGAACAGTTTACAGGTAGGTAAAATTCTTCCCTATTTATAATAAAAATGTATACTCTTGTTTTTTGTATGTCTTAATTGCATTTATTAGTGTACATCTTAGTGCACTGCTCCTGTTATGAACCTGAAAAGTACAGACATGAATGAATATTGCAGCCTTACTGGAGGGGGGTTTCTGTGTACACACAGACATGCACACACATCTTCTGACTGATACAGTACAGCTGATTCCCCAGTTCAGAGCTGGGGAAGTTGGCAAGCTGGTTGGTCACATAGTGCTGACTCACATTGTTTCCGGCTGTTAAATTGTGCTGAAAGAGATCTAAAAATACGCTGATGACTTCTCTGCTGTTGCTTTCTATGTAAATAACTGTCACAGAGTGCCTGTCAGCATGACTTTAGTGTGGTTGCAGAAACACTTGACAGGTCTTACTGTATTTGCACAGACCTTTTAAGTTTACACATATCATTCTGCAAATATGATGTGGTTGGAGCACAACTGCTTTGTGTTCGCACAGCCTGACACTTTTTCAGTGGACTGAACTGACGTAAAAATTGGTGGCCTCGGTGCTGTGCTTTGTTATATGGTATAGACTTTATGTGATCTTTGACAGGGGAGTTTTTAGTACAGCTCAGTTTGCTGTAATGAGGCAGTATGCATTTGACTGACGTGAACACCACACTTGGTGCCATATTTTAAATTAAACCACAAGCCTGAGCACCTTTCTTAATGTCATTGAATAAGAAGTTTTCTTTTGGGGCCAAAAGATAATGCAGCCTTGAGGTGATTTACTATGGGGGCTAGTATGCAACTGTGTATGGTAGCATGGAATGATGATAATGTGCTCATTACTACTTTTTGTTTGCCAGGTGGGCAGATGGGTAGATGGTTCAGCCTTAGTCATTGATCTGTTCTTTTATGACGTAGTCTGCGATGCCGTTTGGGAGAGGGAAGAGGAAGGGAAGGGAAGTGAAAGAGGAAACTAGGTGGCAGGGGTCCAGCATTAACCTCATACTGCCAACATGGTGGCAGTCTAAAGCTGCCAAACCAATGTGCGTTCTGTATGTATCATCTAAGTCCCAAGTGAAACGTCATACCATTTATTTGTGTGTTTTATATATGCTGATATCGAATAATTATTGTATATTTCAACTGACAAAACCTGTTCCTGTGGTTTTCAAAGGAATCATTTATGCAGGGCTAGGAGGGAGCCAGAGAACTTAGAGTGAAAGTCACTAGTTGTAAGATTCATTTTAAAAGACTGTCATGTTTTCACATTTTTTCACTGCAGAAAGCACTGGCTTGCTAAGTTAAAGGCTAGGTGAAGTAACCAAAGATACATTTATCTGTAGAAGTATGTAGCAGAAATATTAAGATTGGTGTGAATGAGGTATGAATGAAAACGTATATGTGAGAGAACACCAGAAATCTTGATAGAAGGGACAAAAGGATGGCATGTGTTGGTGCCTGGATCAGCTGGTAATCAGTATATCATCACATCTGCATGCTGATTCTCCAAACATCTGTATGGGGGTGCAGGGAGCAAAAAAGAGGCTGGAGGCTTTGCATGAAGATGTCAGGTAGAATGGTGGTGTGACTGGAACTGTATAGTGCCCTAGACGAGAAGATGAATGGGTGGTGAGTCCATCAGCAGTATTGCCTTATGACTAGGAGTGGGACAGAATGAATGAAGAGGCAGAAGATCACAGTTGCTGTCATCCTCTACAAAAGGCATATCTGAAGACAGCATGTGATGACTGATCAAGAAAACTCTTGCACTGAGAGGTGTTGAGATTTGTGGAAGAGCTGGTGTCCCTTGTTCTCCATGTACACCCGAAGTAATTCTGGACAGAGTAGGGTGCTAGGCCACATGTCTTGGTACTTGTGAGTGTGTGTGAGGGAGGGAGTAGAAGCAGCCATTTCCCTTAATACTTTCTCTTAATTTTGTTTAAAACAAGATTACCTTTCTCTTCTATACCGACACTGACCTTTGCTGTCAGCTGCCACATATCTCTAGTTCTTAGTTTCAACCTTTCATGTGCTCTGCACATGTATAGGACAATTCTACTGCTGAAAGGAGCAGGACTTGCCCAAGTGTACAGCCGCATTTGCTGTACGCATTTGCTTACGCATGAGAGGCGTAAGCAATTCTGGTATCCCTCTAACAATGCGTATCTCCAAGACCAGCAATGGGAGCACTGCTGTAGGTGAACTGTGATGCTTGTGCCATCTGGCCATGCTGTGAGTGGAATAAAATAAACTTTGTAGTTATACAGCTGGACTGTGAACTGTGTCAAGACTATGGGTCTTTTGGTAAAACTAACCTACAGCTTTGCCTACACTCCTCTCTGGATTTTACGTATATCTATTGTCCTCTGTTGATTTGTGCTTAAGTAGTTCCTGAACTACAAGCGTTTTCTTTAGCAGTATTCAGATACTGCTTGCATAGCTGTCTGCAGACTAGAAGACGAGTCAGTCCTCCTAATTGATTGTATTACTTGGTACGTGTTTTAACATTTTGTTTGCATTTCTGTGTGTTTCCTGCTGTGGAGTGGGTGACACTGAATTCTGTATGTTACAAAACCAAATTATTACCTGCCCTTTGGTGCACAATACTAACTTGAAGGCTGGAGTCCTACCAGCAGTAGCACAGAGCTATGTGCAAGTCGACTGTAGCATTGAGAAGTGTAGTAAAGGAACTAGTTAACGTGGGACTCTGCTACCATAACAGCCCTGAGGAAGTTTGTGTATCATGCCCCTCCACTGTAAAGTTGGTGTGGACACTAAATGTCGTAAGTACTAGGCTTATTAATTAATTAATTTATTTTTTTAATGCCTTGCAACACTTCAGGGTAAGACTAAGAAAGAGAGGCACTGAAATAACTGTCTGTCTTACAAGGCTGCAAAACGCCGTAAGTAGGCTTGGAAAAAAGGGACCAGATGATCTGGTTTTTATCTGTGTTCTCTAATCTTAAGCAAAACCCCAACACTTCTGTCTGGTCTGTTAAGGATGTTTGCATGCCTGCAGTATTTTAGATGCTTCAGTGCAAGATGCTTGATGCTGTAAATGTTCAAAACCAAACTAAAGAAACTGCGGGCAGAGATGATGTCTCCTTCTTCCCCATTTGTTGTTATATTTTAATTACTTGTCAATGGTCCTTGAAGTAATCTTAAATTTTGGGGAACTGAACTGTTGCTAGAGTTTAAAAGAAATTCTTAGTTAAAGGCTGTGTATGTTTTTCTTTCCTTTGAATCTTCAAGGTCATGCTGCAGAATAATCTGGTTTAAACACTATCACATCATCAGTGCTGTATGAAACAAAGGCAGAGTGAGGAATTACTTTGTGTTAAGAAACTGGAAGCTCTAACTACTTCTTACAAACCCTTGAGGCATAGTTTCAGTGGAGGCTAATTAGCTTTTTTCCCGTAAGAAAGTAAAAAGGACTTAGAATTGGAATGTGTTCCGTGTGCGTCAGCCTGTTAAAATGTTACTTGTTCTGTAAGGAAAGATGCTGTTTTGATTTACAGTCTAAAGTGTTCCTATGACATTATTAGTATTTTAATAAGCTCCAGATCTAAGTGTTAATCTGTCAGACTTTCTTTGGTAATTACTTGAAAATTTTAATCTGACTTTTGAACTTAAGCTAATGTTATTTTCCAGAGGCCTCAGTGTTGTCCCAGATGAAGAAGTCATTGCAATGTATGATGGTTCCCACGTCCCTTTAGAACAAATGAGTGACTTTTATGGAAAGGTAAAACCACAAACTGCTCTTTAAAAGTTATTTTCTTTTTTTTTTTTTTTTTTTTGTGGGGGTAGCGGTGTTTGCATTTTGTTCTTGTTCTTACTAGCAGTTATGTTTTCTCAGTACGTGATTGACTTACAGTGCTAGATGTGAAGTTTGCCATCTAAAGTGACAAATATCTTTTCTTTCCCCCACTTGCTGTAGTTCCTTCTTTTACTGTTCCTTTGATCAGTCATACAGACAGAGAAGTGGAACATAGAAAAATCAAGTGACTTGCTCAGTGTTGCACAGCAAATCTGATAAAGGCTGGGAAATGAACCATATCTGGTGCCTTACCCCAGCTGTGTACTTCTTACCCCAGCTGTGTACTTCTTACCCCAGCTGTGTACTTCTTACCCCAGCTGTGTACTTCTTACCCCAGCTGTGTACTTCTTACCCCAGCTGTGTACTTCTTCCTGGTGGTCTAATGACTTAGCTGATATAGCAGCAAGTAAATGTATGGAGGCATCTCTTGCATATAAGCTGGCAGAGTGACAGTAAGAGTATTTGGTAAAAGATAAAGCTTTTAAGTTTAGGATTTGACTTTATGGGGAACGTTGATCTTCTTGCAGGTAGGTTCCTTCCCTTTTTCCGAATGAAGAATGGTGCTGTCTTTTTAGTAAAAACCAAATTTTACTTATGGATGTTAATTCCATGTTGACATGGAAGGTCCTTCTTTGTGCTGTGGAGCATTTTGTTGTTCTCATGCTTGTTCTTATTTTAAGGGGATGAACTTAGAATTCCCTAATCTGGTCTCTGCAGCAGTTCTGAATATCGCCCTGGCATTCCCTGTGGGATGCCTTGGTCTCTGCAGGTCTGTGCTTTCTTTGATCTTGGAGGGGCACTGACAGGACAAGAGGCTGTGGGCACAAACTGAAACATAGGAGGTTTCCTCTGAATATATGGAAACACTTCCGTTACTGTGAGGGTGACCAAGGACTGGCACAGGTTGGTTGCTCAGGAAGGTTGTGGAGTCTCCATCCTTGGAGATTCAGAAGCCATCTGGACAAGGTCCTGGGTGACTGGCTCTAGGTGGCCATGCTTGAGCAAGGGGATTGGACAAGATGACCTCCAGAGGTCCCTTGCAACCTCAACCATACTGTGTTTCTGTGATCTTGACCAGTGTGCTGTCCTGAGCTAGTTGCTTTACCCCTCTTCTTCCTGAGAAGTACTTGTTTTGTATTTGCTCTTGTATAATGAGATTCTCTACTTCTGTGGAACAGCTATCGTTACAGCTTTTGCAGACTAGAAATCTTTTCTTCTGTTACTGCATTAGTTATTGTAAATTCTTACAACTTTTTATTATCTCTTTTCAAGGAGGTAGGTGGTTTTGCAGTCCTACTCAGTATTCCGCTCAAAAAACCAAACAAACCAACCGAAACAACAAATAACAAAACCTCCATGCCCCATCATAACACCCAGTGCCTCTTATTTATAATAAGCACAGACTAACAGTGAAGGCATCCAAGTCCTTCTCTTGACTTTTAGTTGAGTGCTGTCTTTGATGTGTTTATGAATTAAAATACTGCTTAAGAGTAACGATTCGTGATTAATTCTTAAAATAAAGCTAGCACTTTTATTTGAGTTACTTTATTGAAAGTCTGTTAGCTCAAAAATAATCTAAAGCAATGTGAACAGCGGTGGCAGAAGCTGAATATCTGCAGCTAAGCTGAAGTGTTCTACTGGATGAATGGAAGCGTTCTAATCTGAGAAATGCCTGACCTTTTTTTTTCTTTTTTCTTCCCACCCTCTAGAGCTCACAAGGAAATACAATGAAGCAATTCATGGATATATTTTCCTTGCCAGAAATGACGCTCCTCTCTTGTGTGAATGAATATTTTCTGAAAAACAACATAGACTATGAGCCTGTTCATCTGTACAAAGATGTCAAGGTACTAGCTTTGAAGATTTAGGTAAATCTCTGCATTTGTGCGTCTTCTCTGTGAGCACTTCAGGAATGTTCAACCTGTTGCGTCAGCTCTGGTGAAACACCTCAACTTCAGGTTTACTATAGAGTAATTATTGCTATACAGCCGTGAAAACATAAGTAAAATGAAGGTAGACCTTGGAACAGAAACATAGAATAATTTGAAATTTATTTTAAAACTGACATTCTAGGGTTGTTGCTCTTTTTGTAGGTTTGAGGGGAGGATGGGGGAAAGTGAAGAAGCTCTTTTACGTCTATAAAGCTTCTTTTGATTGTTATTAAAAGTATACTTTTCTCACTAGCAGGAATTGTAAGAGGCTATAGGGAATGCCAGTTTGGAGCTCTGTTGTACTGCCTCTGTATCTTCACTAGCATATGATTATTTGTTGTCTCTTGCTTTTGGCATATATATTTTGCCTGTTTTCCTCTCTTCCAGAAAAATCTGGTAATAATGACTAGGGTAATTTGACCCTCTTGATTCCTCAGGATGTACCCTGCAGAGGAGATAATTTTATGTCATGGTTATTTAAGAACAGAAGAGGTCATGCTGAAGTTGATGGTATTTATCTGCACAGGCTTTCCATCCAAAACCTTTTCCTGGCCCCTTGTTGGCATATTAAATTTGTGTAGTTGTTCAGCCTGTGTGATGCACCTGAATGTTGAATTTCTCACTATCCCAAGTAGTTCAGATGGATTTTAAGAAACTTATGACCTCCAGAGCAATTTTCCCTTCTGCCTATGGTTGCATAGCCTCAGAAAGCTAGTTCTTGTGGTTTCTGCTGAAGCTTTTGTAGAAATTTCTGTACTGCTCAGTATTACCAACATTTTGTAAGCCCTATAGTGGCATTTTTTTGAGGATTTATAGGACATACTCCATGTAAGTACCAAAATGGCAGTACGACTATCCTAAACAAAGCAGTCTGCTGCAGAGCTGGCTCAGGAGAGCTGCCAAATGCCTTCAGAGCGCCTTATGGGTACTTTGCTTAAGCATTTAGCTGCTTTCATCTGTTCATAAATTTCTCTTTTAAATAACCAGGACGTTTGCGAGTGATCATAATCTAAAATCTGCCTGACTTAAAGCTTTTTTTTTTTTTTTTTTTTTTTTTTGTACTTCTTACCCCAGCTGTGTACTTCTTACCCCAGCTGTGTACTTCTTACCCCAGCTGTGTACTTCTTACCCCAGCTGTGTACTTCTTACCCCAGCTGTGTACTTCTTACCCCAGCTGTGTACTTCTTACCCCAGCTGTGTACTTCTTACCCCAGCTGTGTACTTCTTACCCCAGCTGTGTACTTCTTACCCCAGCTGTGTACTTCTTACCCCAGCTGTGTACTTCTTACCCCAGCTGTGTACTTCTTACCCCAGCTGTGTACTTCTTACCCCAGCTGTGTACTTCTTACCCCAGCTGTGTACTTCTTACCCCAGCTGTGTACTTCTTACCCCAGCTGTGTACTTCTTACCCCAGCTGTGTACTTCTTACCCCAGCTGTGTACTTCTTACCCCAGCTGTGTACTTCTTACCCCAGCTGTGTACTTCTTACCCCAGCTGTGTACTTCTTACCCCAGCTGTGTACTTCTTACCCCAGCTGTGTACTTCTTACCCCAGCTGTGTACTTCTTACCCCAGCTGTGTACTTCTTACCCCAGCTGTGTACTTCTTACCCCAGCTGTGTACTTCTTACCCCAGCTGTGTACTTCTTACCCCAGCTGTGTACTTCTTACCCCAGCTGTGTACTTCTTACCCCAGCTGTGTACTTCTTACCCCAGCTGTGTACTTCTTACCCCAGCTGTGTACTTCTTACCCCAGCTGTGTACTTCTTACCCCAGCTGTGTACTTCTTACCCCAGCTGTGTACTTCTTACCCCAGCTGTGTACTTCTTACCCCAGCTGTGTACTTCTTACCCCAGCTGTGTACTTCTTACCCCAGCTGTGTACTTCTTACCCCAGCTGTGTACTTCTTACCCCAGCTGTGTACTTCTTACCCCAGCTGTGTACTTCTTACCCCAGCTGTGTACTTCTTACCCCAGCTGTGTACTTCTTACCCCAGCTGTGTACTTCTTACCCCAGCTGTGTACTTCTTACCCCAGCTGTGTACTTCTTACCCCAGCTGTGTACTTCTTACCCCAGCTGTGTACTTCTTACCCCAGCTGTGTACTTCTTACCCCAGCTGTGTACTTCTTACCCCAGCTGTGTACTTCTTACCCCAGCTGTGTACTTCTTACCCCAGCTGTGTACTTCTTACCCCAGCTGTGTACTTCTTACCCCAGCTGTGTACTTCTTACCCCAGCTGTGTACTTCTTACCCCAGCTGTGTACTTCTTACCCCAGCTGTGTACTTCTTACCCCAGCTGTGTACTTCTTACCCCAGCTGTGTACTTCTTACCCCAGCTGTGTACTTCTTACCCCAGCTGTGTACTTCTTACCCCAGCTGTGTACTTCTTACCCCAGCTGTGTACTTCTTACCCCAGCTGTGTACTTCTTACCCCAGCTGTGTACTTCTTACCCCAGCTGTGTACTTCTTACCCCAGCTGTGTACTTCTTACCCCAGCTGTGTACTTCTTACCCCAGCTGTGTACTTCTTACCCCAGCTGTGTACTTCTTACCCCAGCTGTGTACTTCTTACCCCAGCTGTGTACTTCTTACCCCAGCTGTGTACTTCTTACCCCAGCTGTGTACTTCTTACCCCAGCTGTGTACTTCTTACCCCAGCTGTGTACTTCTTACCCCAGCTGTGTACTTCTTACCCCAGCTGTGTACTTCTTACCCCAGCTGTGTACTTCTTACCCCAGCTGTGTACTTCTTACCCCAGCTGTGTACTTCTTACCCCAGCTGTGTACTTCTTACCCCAGCTGTGTACTTCTTACCCCAGCTGTGTACTTCTTACCCCAGCTGTGTACTTCTTACCCCAGCTGTGTACTTCTTACCCCAGCTGTGTACTTCTTACCCCAGCTGTGTACTTCTTACCCCAGCTGTGTACTTCTTACCCCAGCTGTGTACTTCTTACCCCAGCTGTGTACTTCTTACCCCAGCTGTGTACTTCTTACCCCAGCTGTGTACTTCTTACCCCAGCTGTGTACTTCTTACCCCAGCTGTGTACTTCTTACCCCAGCTGTGTACTTCTTACCCCAGCTGTGTACTTCTTACCCCAGCTGTGTACTTCTTACCCCAGCTGTGTACTTCTTACCCCAGCTGTGTACTTCTTACCCCAGCTGTGTACTTCTTACCCCAGCTGTGTACTTCTTACCCCAGCTGTGTACTTCTTACCCCAGCTGTGTACTTCTTACCCCAGCTGTGTACTTCTTACCCCAGCTGTGTACTTCTTACCCCAGCTGTGTACTTCTTACCCCAGCTGTGTACTTCTTACCCCAGCTGTGTACTTCTTACCCCAGCTGTGTACTTCTTACCCCAGCTGTGTACTTCTTACCCCAGCTGTGTACTTCTTACCCCAGCTGTGTACTTCTTACCCCAGCTGTGTACTTCTTACCCCAGCTGTGTACTTCTTACCCCAGCTGTGTACTTCTTACCCCAGCTGTGTACTTCTTACCCCAGCTGTGTACTTCTTACCCCAGCTGTGTACTTCTTACCCCAGCTGTGTACTTCTTACCCCAGCTGTGTACTTCTTACCCCAGCTGTGTACTTCTTACCCCAGCTGTGTACTTCTTACCCCAGCTGTGTACTTCTTACCCCAGCTGTGTACTTCTTACCCCAGCTGTGTACTTCTTACCCCAGCTGTGTACTTCTTACCCCAGCTGTGTACTTCTTACCCCAGCTGTGTACTTCTTACCCCAGCTGTGTACTTCTTACCCCAGCTGTGTACTTCTTACCCCAGCTGTGTACTTCTTACCCCAGCTGTGTACTTCTTACCCCAGCTGTGTACTTCTTACCCCAGCTGTGTACTTCTTACCCCAGCTGTGTACTTCTTACCCCAGCTGTGTACTTCTTACCCCAGCTGTGTACTTCTTACCCCAGCTGTGTACTTCTTACCCCAGCTGTGTACTTCTTACCCCAGCTGTGTACTTCTTACCCCAGCTGTGTACTTCTTACCCCAGCTGTGTACTTCTTACCCCAGCTGTGTACTTCTTACCCCAGCTGTGTACTTCTTACCCCAGCTGTGTACTTCTTACCCCAGCTGTGTACTTCTTACCCCAGCTGTGTACTTCTTACCCCAGCTGTGTACTTCTTACCCCAGCTGTGTACTTCTTACCCCAGCTGTGTACTTCTTACCCCAGCTGTGTACTTCTTACCCCAGCTGTGTACTTCTTACCCCAGCTGTGTACTTCTTACCCCAGCTGTGTACTTCTTACCCCAGCTGTGTACTTCTTACCCCAGCTGTGTACTTCTTACCCCAGCTGTGTACTTCTTACCCCAGCTGTGTACTTCTTACCCCAGCTGTGTACTTCTTACCCCAGCTGTGTACTTCTTACCCCAGCTGTGTACTTCTTACCCCAGCTGTGTACTTCTTACCCCAGCTGTGTACTTCTTACCCCAGCTGTGTACTTCTTACCCCAGCTGTGTACTTCTTACCCCAGCTGTGTACTTCTTACCCCAGCTGTGTACTTCTTACCCCAGCTGTGTACTTCTTACCCCAGCTGTGTACTTCTTACCCCAGCTGTGTACTTCTTACCCCAGCTGTGTACTTCTTACCCCAGCTGTGTACTTCTTACCCCAGCTGTGTACTTCTTACCCCAGCTGTGTACTTCTTACCCCAGCTGTGTACTTCTTACCCCAGCTGTGTACTTCTTACCCCAGCTGTGTACTTCTTACCCCAGCTGTGTACTTCTTACCCCAGCTGTGTACTTCTTACCCCAGCTGTGTACTTCTTACCCCAGCTGTGTACTTCTTACCCCAGCTGTGTACTTCTTACCCCAGCTGTGTACTTCTTACCCCAGCTGTGTACTTCTTACCCCAGCTGTGTACTTCTTACCCCAGCTGTGTACTTCTTACCCCAGCTGTGTACTTCTTACCCCAGCT